AACACTATTTAGAGTCCCAGCCTCAGAGGACACAAGAGAGCAGTGGATTTATTTAGGTTACTGTATTGCTTCTGCCACACAGATCTAAAATAAACAAGAGATTTATTTCCCAGCTGTTTACCTTCACAGACATAACTGACTGTTTTTGTAACTCATGTGTTTTTAACATAAACTTGTGTGTGAATGAGAACTTAGAATAATACTCACATGCTGTGACAGCCGCTTTCTGTCCGTGTGCTTCGGATGTGTGCACTCAGAGAACCTTATATCAGAAGTTTAAACTCATATGGTTTAAAACGCATGATTTCAGCACGATAAACATGATAATCAGAACCAAAACATGTTTTTAGCAGATAGGAGCTGTAATGAAACAGCTCTATTCTGGAAAAGGGGGTGGGGAGCAGCAGCTCATTTGCATTTAAAAACACAGGCCCGAAAAACAGCTTGTTTCTGCTTCCACTCAAAATAGGCATTTTCAAAATTATATAATGATCTGTGGAGTATTTTGAGCTGAAACTTCACAGACACATTCTGGGGACACCAGAGACTTATATTACATATTGTAAAAAGGGGCATAATATGTCTCCTTTACATTTGATAGTGACCGTTTGTGTACTGCAGTCTTCAAGTCATTCCACAGATTTTCAGTGGGGCTTAAGTCTGGGCTGTGAATAGGTCATGCAAGGACATTCACCTTTTTCTCCTTCAACCACTGTGTGCTCAGTTTTGCTTTGTGTTTGGGTCATTGTCATGTTGGAAGGTAAACCTTCTTCCCATTGACAACTTTCTGGCAGAGGGCAGCAGATTTTCCTCAACAATTTGACGGTATTTTCCCCATCTATTTTTCCTTCTATCCTGGCAAGTGCTCCAGTCCCTGCTGCAGAGAAACATCCCCATAACAGGATATTACCACCTTTACTGTAGGAATGCTGTTATTTGGATGGTGATCTGTATTGGATTTCCACTAGACAATATAGCAGGGGTGGCGAACTCCGGTCCTGGAGAGCCGCAGCCCTGCAGAGTTCAGCTCCAACCCTAATTAAAACTCACCTGCCTGTAGCTTCCTAGTAACTGTTCAGACCTTGATTAGCTTGTTCAGGTGTGTTTGATTAGGGTTGAAGCAAAACTCTGCAGGGCTGCGGCTCTCCAGGACCGACGTTCGCCACCCCTGCAATATAGTTTGGTGTTGAGGCCAAAAAATTCAATTTTAGTCAATTTTATCTGCCTCAGAATCCTCAGAAGGTGCGTTTTGGCAAAGCTCAGTCGTGACTGCATGTGGCCTTTCTTGAGGAGTGGCTTTTTTTCTTGCAACCCTCCCATACAAGCCACATTTGTAGAGAATTTGTGATATTGTTGTCACATGCACACAATGACCACTCTTTGTCATAAATTCCTGCAACTGCTTCGGAGTTGCTATAGGCCTCTTAGGACCTGTTTACACCTGGTCATTTCATGTGTTTTCGCTGGTCTGATATCTATCTGATTTGTTAAAACGTTTCCATTTACACTTGGCCACATAAATGTGTCGCCGCAAAACGGATGTAAATCCGATCTTCAATTCCCGCGCTATGTAACGGAGTTCACGTCAAAGAAATCAAGAGATAAGTGCTGCATTTTATTAATCAGACCGCAATAGGAGAGCGTGTGGCATCAGCACTGGAAAGATAAGTTTGTCTTACTACTTTTAATGAAGATGATTGTGTGTTGACCGTCTGCGTCTTACTTTTTCATTCGCGGCAGTTTGCGCATGCTGAATAGATGCTCAGCTACTCGTCCGCGGCGATGCATGTTGCATTAGCGCAGTCATATCTGACTATTATAGCCTATATAGCCTATAACACGCTCTCACATGTTTATTATTTTAAAATTTTGGGAGGAGTAAAATTTACATATGTGGTTTCAACAACCAGGTGCATTTACACTGGTCCAGTTTCGTCTGTAATGTGGCCCAGACAACCTCCTGAAGTGGTTTGAGCGATCGGATTTATATCCGTCTCGAATGCGTTTCGGAGGGCATTTACACCTGGTCTTTTCACGATCGGATAGGTATCCGATCAGACAAAACGCATGAAGTGACCAGGTGTAAACAGCCCCTTACTAGCCTCTCTGACCAGTTTCCTCCAGCTCTTTCATCCAGTTTGGAGTGGCGTCCTGATCCAGGGAGGGTCTGTGTTGTACCAAATACCATCCACTTTAAAATAATAGACTTCATTGTGCTTCTAGGCATTGATAAAGCCTTTGCATTTTTTTTGTATCCATCTGACTTGTGCCTGTTCACAACTTTATCCTTGAGATCTTTTGACAGTGCCTTGCCACCCATAGTTGATTGTTTGCTTCAGTTGCACTACCAAGGACTGAAATGCTCCAGGAAAACTCTTTTCGTGCTGAGCTGATCAAAATGACCACAGCTGATCACAGTTGAAAGGCAAATGGCTTTGTTTGCCATTGTGAAGGTGATTAGCTACACCTGAGTTTACAAGTCATTTTTAGGAGGGGGTGATACTTTTTCCAGCTCAGTGATTCTTTTTTTTTTTTTCCTGACATGTTGGTGTTATATCTTTCACTTGGATGTTATAAGTTGCACTGAGTAAGTACAGCTGGATAAAACAAAAACAGTGACCGTCTACATTTCAGGCTGCAAAGCAACAAAATGTAAAAGGGTGTGATTCTTTTCTTTACCCACTGTACCTTGAAAGCTGTAGGAGAAGTTGGGAATTTTGGTTTTGGATTGTTAAGCCAACATAATGTTTGATGTTTGTTCCCACACTTTATCGGAGATGATCAATACCTGCTGCCTCAGTTTGCCTCCACCACTTTTCAAATTGTTCCTCTACCCCTGAATGCTGCTTTTACAGTAGACCACTAACACTACATTTATTCACTGGCTCAGTGGGTATGGAAAGAGCTAATTAAGTGTTGGATGTTGTTGGTGCTGTCATAGCTCAAGCAGAGCTACAGGTACACCTTTTGTGTGCTGGGTGTTGATGGTTCATTGGCTGGTCAACATGAATATGGATGTTTTCAGTTCCTCTGTTGCCTCTGGTGTTTAAGGAGGTATAGGCTGAGAGGAGGAGGAGTATTTTCAGCTATCCTGTCAGGTTTGAATGATTTTCAGTGACCTCATGTCTCAAGGCATCATTTGGTCAACAGGAAGCCACCTCCCCCTACTTCCTCTGTGAATGAAACAATGGATTTTAAAATGTGAACAATATTACCTTACACTACCATTCAAAAGTTTGGAATCAGTCATTTGTTTTTGAAAGAAATGAATAGTTTTATTCAGCAAGGATGCATTAAATTATTAAAAAGTGACATTTAATACATTTATAATGTTACAAAAGATTTGTTTCAATGCAGTTCTTTTGAACTTTCTTTTCATCAAAGAATCCTGAAAAATAGAAAAAGCTGAAAATTCAGCTTTGCCATCACAGGAATTGATTGCATTTTAAAATATATTAAACTAGAAGAGTTATTTAAAATGTATAGTAACATTTTACAATATTACTAGTTTTACTGTATTTTTTAAAATCAAATAAATGCTGCTTTGTTGAGCATAAGAAGCTTTTTCAAAATTTTGAACGGTAGTGTAATAGCATGACTCTGAAATGTTTGATTTATTGCTATTAATTAATTTTATAAATTGACATCAAATCTGTGCAATTTATGAATGAGATTTAATATTGTATATTTTCTTAAAATGTAAAAACTCTCATTGTGGTTGCATGAATTGATTTGATCATTCAGTGGCCCACAGAACTGAATTTTTCACCTCAGGGAGTAAATCTCACGTTTGAGATTATGAATATCAATCTTTCACCAAGTATTAATTATTTAGCTGATTAATTAATATATTCTTTCTTATTTTTTCCCTTTCTTTTCCACTTCTCTTGTTGTCTCTCTCTGTCTATCTTCTGGTTGTTGGCCAGTGTGGGGATATGGTTTCCTGTGTGTGACAGTGATATCTCTGTGTTCACTGTTCGGGGCGAGTGTGGTTCCCTTCATGAGGAAAACCTTTTACAAGCGGTTGCTGCTGTACTTCATAGCCCTGGCCATTGGTACTCTGTACTCCAACGCCCTCTTTCAACTAATCCCAGAGGTAGAGTGGACACGTGGGGGAAACGGGTTTATAGACGTGTGCCACACAACCAGACTGAAGACAGTTCTAATTCCACTCTATCTAGAGTTCTAGATTTTAGAGTTTATATGTCGAGTCTGACATTTAAAGGAGTTGTTCACTCAAAAGGTTTAAGTTACTTACCCACATGTCGTTCCAGACGTTATGTACAGAACAAATGAAAATATTTTATGCAAAATCAAGGAAACGTTGAGTTATCTCTACACATTTTTAGGTTTTATCTTTCTTTATGCAAATTATTTATTCTATTTGTCTTTCCCTTATATTCTTTTAAATGTTTACTTTTTTTCTATTAAACTTTATTTATTTATTAACTATTTTATGCAATGTCCAAACTGCTGTTTTCTGTACAATAAAAATGGATTTGATGAAGATGTTTATTGCAGTATAGCATTGACAAAGTACATGTAGTATCTTGGGTTCAACGGAGTCCGAATGAACCCCAAACATCCTAAACTCAAACCTTTTATACAGTTACAGTTTGCTACCCTTAATGTAAATGAAGTTGCTCCTTTCGTAACAACTGTATGTTAATGAAGTTCTGACACCCCATTGTCTGAGATGGTTTTCGGTGTCCCACAACCCATTCCCATTCTACAATTGGTTACCTTTTGATCATGATGTGATCATTCCAAATGGTGCAGAAACAACATAACTGTTGACTTTCTTGTCCTCTGTAATAATTAAACCATTTTGGGAAATGAGCATGATCAAACATCTGTTGTGGAATCGGAGTCGGGGCAGACTACAGTTTCTTACACCGTCAAGCTCAAAAAAGGACATAAAAGTATTAAAGTAGACTAGTTTAGACTCCCGATACACAGATACTTACAGTACATAATATTTAGTGTTTCCTGAAGCCGATCAATAGAAGTTGGTCGGTGTGACTTTGAATCATTCTTATTGTATGTGAAATAACAGATTGGATAAAAATCTATTTTTGTGTTCTAAATAATAAAATAGTATGTTTTGGAACAATGTGAGGGTGAGTAACTGATGACAGAATTGTCATTTTCAGGTGAACATTCCCTTTAAGAACACACATAAGTCTTTCTGGCCTCAGTGGTTCTCCCCAGCCGGAGGCCTAGAAAATAGAGTAAAAAACGATCAGTAAACTTTGTATTGATCCATAGAACCTTTGTTATTGTTGGAGTTCTCACTGGACTTATTATAATCATAGTAATGACCATTTAATGTACTTTTTTGAGGCAAGATGGCATGGAACTGGAGCACACATTTAAGTTTTAAATTTATCTGACTGAACTATTCAAATGTATACTTATAAGGGAATGGCCCAATTCGTGAAAAAAATAAATAAATCATAATACAGAGGTGAAAAGCCAAACAAAATGGGGGTGCGGGGGAGCCCTGAGGCATTAATGAACTACACTAAGACCCCATCTAAAATAAATCCCATACTCACTCTTCTTGACAGCTTTTAACCAAGTGTGAAATAAATGTGAAGAATATGGTTTTAAAAAAAGCCCAATTGATTGTTTCTGGTGTCTAGGAGAGTGATTAGGGGTTTGTATTTAGAATGTATCCATACTAAGTATATTATGTACTCATTCACACATTCAGTCTGCTAACACATATGCAGCGTTCTCTACTGTTCAAAGGTTTGGGGTCTTATGTGAAATATTTGTAGTATGTAAAATAACTAATTTATTCCTGTGATACCAAAGCTGAATATTCAGCAGCCATTTCTCCAGTCTTCCGTGTCATATGGTCCTTCAGAAAATATTACAATATACTGATTTGATGCTTTGAAGGCATTTCTTGTTATTATCAATGTTGAAAACGGCTTTACTTTCTTGTGGAAACTGTGCTATATATATTTTTAGGATTATTTTATGAATAAAGTTCAAAAGAACAGCATTGTAGCAATATAAAAGTCTTTTCTGTTACTTTTGATCAATTTAATGCATTCTTGCTAAATAAAAGTATTATTATTTTTGTATCTTACTGACCCCAAACTTTTCAATTGTAGTGCTTTTCAGCATTCTGTGCATAATTTTGTGTTAATAAAAACATGTTTTTCATTATTTGAGGTTAATAACAAATGCTATATTATTTTATATTAGTTTGAATAAAGTAGTATTTGACATCTTAAAGCATGCTTTTTTTCTGTATATAGGCCTTTGGATTTGACCCCATGGAAGATTATTATGTGCCCAAGTCTGCTGTCGTGTTTGGAGGATTCTACCTGTTCTTCTTTACAGAGAAAATCCTGAAGATGATCTTAAAGCCAAAGGACAGGGTGAGCTTGCCTTGGACTAATGATCTGTTCGAGTAAACCATGAAAACAGCTTTATCTGACATTGTCATTGTGACATGGGTTCCCAGTGACATAAAAAAAATCACAAGGAGGAACTAGAACTTTTTAAAGTTCAATCTCATGAAGTTTTGCTTTGGAATGTGTGAACGGTATGTACAATATGTGCATGTCTGGTTGTCGCTCCTCATGGGCTGCACTATTCATTTGTAGTATTCTTTGAAAGACAATTTAAAAAAGATGTTAAAAAAGGAACCTAAAAAGCTTAAGTCATAAAAATACATTAACTGTTTTGTTGTAGTCTGTAATGGTTTGTCCAGAGCCAGTAAATCATTTTACATGAATCAGAAGATTTATTATTGAACTTTTTGCTTTTGAGATTGTAATGTGTTGTAATGCAGCACCCTCTAGTGGAGAAATGTCTTTGCAAGCTTATTTACTCACTCTCATTTTTTTCTGCTTGCGTTTCTTATTATCTAATTGTCTCTTGTGTTAGGGGGGGCATGGCCACGGTCACAGTCACTTTCCTGCAGAGCGCTATGCCAACTCTAATGGTGACTTGGAGGATGGTGTGATGGAGAAACTGCAGAATGGAGAGGCTGGAGAAGCATCTTTACCCAGAGTGGAAGGTGATGCCAGAGGGCTTGGAGAAGATGACAAAATGATCAGCACTGGGCAGACAGTACAGGTGAGGAATAAAAGAAACTACAAATTTCAATTTGCTTAAAAATCTTTTCCAGTTCACAAAATTATTTAATATTTGAGAACAAATGTGGTTATCTGTCGTTTCAATTAATCGGGCTTAAGTGACTATAAGCCTCACCCACAATTATATCCCTTAAAAACAACTTGAAATCAAAATTGACCCAATTTAGTTCTAGCATGTTAATGTCATGCCAGTATTACTGTAATTATGATTTTCCAGCTTGTAAAAACTTTCCAGATCTTTGTTGAATTTATAATTACAGCTTGGAAACTCTCAACTTATGAATGCTCTGACTTTTTTTCATTCATCTGTGAATAATGACTGATGACGTCATGTAAACGAATCCAAAATATAATGAATGTGCTTCAAGAGCATATAGATGTGAACAATAATAGTCATTTTGCTGTCATCAAAGCCAGTCATATTGTGAGAGTTGCCATAGAAACACATTTTTCTGAGTCTGAGGACGTGAAAGGCATCTCAGAGTTGTCTTCTTATAATTGCCATAATTTCAGGACAATGTAAATGCGACATTATTCATCAGCGCGTAAGGTTTTTTAAGGAAAAAATTGTTTTATATATAACCTTTATATTTATAACCTTCATTAAAATGCAAACGCATCTATATCGAAAACAACTTTTTCTTATCCGAGCTACAAGAACCCTACAGAAGCTAAAAGAATATGTTTCGTGATTCAATCAAATTCTAATGGATAAAATGAAGTACCAGACTACATTATATCACTCTCTCTATATCAAGTCACTCAAAAATCAGATTTAATGTTGCAGACATCAAATGCATTGCCAGTGTTGTTTCATCTTATTTTGGGTGCTGTTCCTCTAAGGTTACAAATAGAGGTAAAAAAAAAAAAATATCTAAATAGAAATCTTTTGTAACAATATACAGTAAGTCTTTATTATCACTTAACATATACATGCTGAATAAAAGTATTAATATCTTTCAAAGAAAGAAAGAAAAAAACATACTGACCTCAACAGTGGTGTATATTGTTACAAGTATTGTAAAGTAATTGTACAAGTAATTCTGTTCTTTTTAATGTTTTATTAATCAAAGAATACTGAAAAGTACCACAGGCTTAAAACAAATATGAAGCAGCACAACTGTTTCCAACATTGATAATAAATCAGCATATTAGAATGATTTCTGAAGGATCATGTGACACTATAGACTGGAGTAATGGCTGAAAAAATGACATTTTACAATATATTCACATAGAAAACAGCTATTTAAATTTAATAAAATTGCGCAATATTACTGTTTTTACTGTGTTTTTGGTCAAATAAATGCAGCATTGGTGAGCATAAGAGAAAAGTCTTACTCCAGACGTCTGAATGGAAATGGATATTTACTGTATACACTTCTTCATTTTTCCTGTATTTGTGTCCCTCTCGCAGGACTCTCAGAGTTCAGGTGGTGCTGGAACGGGTGGATGTTATTGGCTTAAGGGCAGGGCATACTCTGACATCGGTACTCTGGCATGGATGATCACTTTGAGCGACGGTCTGCATAATTTCATTGATGGTTTGGCTATCGGAGCCTCCTTCACGGCTTCTGTGTTTCAGGGCATCAGTACATCAGTGGCAATTCTGTGTGAGGAGTTTCCACATGAGTTGGGTGGGTATTACTGACTCTGTTATACAATCAATCAAAAATGGCCATTAACATGCTGAGTCTGTAGTCATGTAAATGCTCTGCTGCATCTGTGTGTCCAGGTGATTTTGTAATCCTGCTAAACGCTGGCATGAGCATCCAGCAGGCACTCTTCTTTAACTTCCTGTCAGCGTGCTGCTGTTATCTGGGCATGGGCTTCGGAATCCTGGCTGGGAACAATTTCTCTCCTAACTGGATCTTTGCTCTAGCCGGAGGCATGTTCCTCTACATTGCACTGGCTGATATGGTAAGAATGTGATGCTGTTCGTTTGCTGGCTTTAAATGACTGGGGTGGATTGCGTTCATTTTTGATGATTCCTGAGGGTGAGTTTCTATGATCAGTGAAGTGTAAAAGAGGTGATTACCAGTGCTATTGCAGGGTTTCAGCAAGCTTTAAAAAGGTCTTAAAAAGTTAATTTACACTTCAACAATTTAAGGCAGGGGTCTCCAAACTCGGTCCTGGAGGGCCGGTGTCCTGCAGAGTTTAGCTCCAACCCTGATTAAACACACCTGAACCAGCTAATCAAGGTCTTACTAGGCATACTAGAAACTTCCAGGCAGGTGTGTTGAGGAAAGTTGGCCCCCCAGGATCGAGTTTGGAGCAGAAAGTCTTAAATTTAAAGTCATGGCATTAAATGCTGCTTTGCACCGCCAAAAAAAAAGTTGTCTTCCTCAGTATTTTTGAAAAAAATTAACTATTGTTTTCTGAGAAATTAAACAAAATTAAATGAGTTTATTCTTAAAACACAAACAATATCTGTCAGTGCAGTGTGAAAATTACTTTTCTGTTGGAATTAATTTGACTTTTCTAAGCCCATTGCCAGATATTTATTTATTCACATTTCACAGAAAACAGGACTTCTTATCATATGTAATTTTGCTTCTCAAGTAAATGTATCTTGTTTTAAGAGTCTTTAGAGATTTGCACTGGAAAACAATACAAAAAAAATCATAATTCAAATTCCATCAAATTCTAATGTTTGGGAGCAAAGGTGTTATGCTAGCCTTATGCAATTTCTTTGTAAAACGATTTAAACAGTAGAATTAAAAAGAAATTGTATCTTTAAACTTTGAAGTGGTGATAATATAACTGATTGTGTGACATTTACATTCAGAGAACATATTGACATATTGTGTTCCCATCAACTTATTCTATACGTTTTCTTTACTTGATCTCAAGGTCTTTAAAAGGTCTTAAATGTACCTTCATAAAACCTGAAGAAATCCTGTATTGTATACTAAAATTAAGAAAATTACATTTAAATTACTTGTTTATTTTGTGAGCTAAAATCATTTAAAGGAGACATATTATGCCCCTTTTTACAATATGTAATATAAGGCTCTGGTGTCCCCAGAATGTGTCTGTGAAGTTTCAGCTCAAAATACTCATTTTGAAAATGCCTATTTTGAGTGGAAGCAGAAACACGCTGTTTTTCATGCGTGTCTCTTTAAATGCAAATGAGCTGCTGCTCCCCGCCCCTTTTCCAGAATAGAGCTGCACCATTACAGCTCGTACCTGCTAAAAATATCTCTTTTGGTTCTGATTATCATGTTTATTGTGCTGAAATCATGCGTTTTAAACCATATTAGTTTAAACTTCTGATATATGGTTTTCTGAGCGCACACATCCGAAGCACACGGACAGAAAGCGGCTGTCACAGCATGTGAGTACTAAACTAAGTTCTCATTCACACACAAGTTTACGTTAAAACAGGGACGCGGGAAGTAGGGGTGCTGAGGGGGCTGCAGCACCCTCTGTTTTCACATGGTTGCAAATGCAATGCCAAGTTTGTTCATTTCAATTTATTCAGTTTTAGCATTTAATAATTTATTTGTAATGATCTCTGAAATGTAAATTGTAAGTGGGCTATAATAAACCCATGTTTATCTTTATAAACATGATTAATTTTACTTGTGATGTTTTCTATATGGGATGATTAGCCTAATCCTCATGAACAAGTGACGCTAGCACGTGGTATCAGACATGAACTATACAGAATGCGAACAAGATTAACTTTAATTCAAGGAGATAATGGCGCAAAAGCGAATTTCAGATTTTTTTAAATGCCCATCCCAGCAAAAGCTTTCCAAAATCGGCATCCAAACAGCCCCAGCACGAGCACCGACGTAAGTGATTTTCACAACAATATTAAGCAGCATTGATAAGTTTCTTGAGCAGCAAATCATCATATTAGAATAATTTTTTCTGTCACACGATCTTTCAGAAATCAAGTAATGACTGCTGAAAATTCACATTAAAATATATTAAAATAGAAAAACGTCATTTTAAATTGTAATCATTTTTTACTTTCTTTTTTGCTGTATTTTTGATCAAATAAATGCAGCCTTGGTGAGAATAAGAAACTTGATAGCTGTCTAACTTGCTGTCTATGAAAACAGAGAATGTCATTACTCAAGTGGTTATCCCGAAATTGATGCTGTTGATTTTATAATTTTTTTCTTACAATCCATGTGTCTCCATCTTCCTTTGTTCCTGCAGTTTCCGGAGATGAATGAGGTGAGTCGTGAAGAAGAGGAGGCCGGAGGAAGTGGATCTCTGCTAACTTTCGCCATCCAGAACGCAGGGCTGCTCACTGGGTTTGGCATCATGCTTGTACTTACCATTTACTCTGGACAGATACAGCTTGGATAGCACAGGACCTAAATACAAACTCAGACACTAAAGGACTATCTCAGCACCTGGACTAAAACCTGAGACCTACTGGAACCTCCAGACTTTAATATGAGCCAGCTGTGCTGACTTGTTTTAAAACATTTGCCCAGCTGGACTAGGTCATGACATAAATTGAAATGTTTGGGCTCAGAGTAAACCTTGGACTGTTTAAACGAGGCTAGAATTGACTGATCCGTGAACTTTGCTTTAGATTCATCCAAAACCTGGGACCTGTTGATGGATGTGGTACCATTCATCTAATTTAGGCCTTCTCTGGTTCCTTCGTCTCAGCTTTAGGACACAGTAATGTCTCTGTACCGTGTGGATTCTCGTTCCCCAACATACACATCTGGGCATTTTTGTATTGATTTCTAATGTTCTCATTATTTGATTTTGATTGTGTTTTTCAACAAAATGTCTCTTTCCCTCAGAGATGGGCCTTTCTCGTAATCCTGACCATGAGATGTAGAGTATTGTCCACTAACTGATGAGTAACGGATGGGATGAAACTTGACTCGTTTTACCTACATTTAAAGCGACATTTAAAGATGTAAAGCACTTTAGGTGTAGAGCGATACACAATAAGCGCTATATAAATGCATCATTCATTCATTTAGTCAAATGTAGGTTGTTTCCTATGCTTCATACCAAATGTTTATTCAAAAGAAAAAGTCTAAACCATTAAAATAAAACAAAATAATACCCCTAGGTTTTTCCAATGCCTAGGGACAAAACATAGATATAGTCTCACTAGTTAGCTGGCATTCATAATTCTGCTAAACTGAACGTTATGTAGGTCACTTTAATCAAAGGTTACTGTGCACTGTTGCACAAGTAGGTTTAAGTTTAGATACAATACAGCGTCTGTTCACAGATCGATCGTTATTAAAAACCATTAAAATAAAACAAAATAATACCCCTAGGTTTTTCCAATGCCTAGGGACAAGACATAGATATAGTCTCACTAGTTAGCTGGCATTCATAATTCTGCTAAACTGAACGTTATGTAGGTCACTTTAATCAAAGGTTACTGTGCACTGTTGCACAAGTAGGTTTAAGTTTAGATACAATACAGCGTCTGTTCACAGATTGATCGTTATTACATTTTTCCCCTCAATGTCATTCCTTAATGGCAAGCAAAAACAGTAAACGCTTGAAACAAAAAGGCACTAATTCTTTTATTGAAGGTTTTTATTTGACCTCTTTAACAAAAAAGCAGAGACCAAGGTTCTTCTAGAAAAATGTATTCTAACTTTGATCTTTTCATTTACATGACCAGAATAAGTGGCGCATATTTTATATGCGCCATATAGCAGAATATTATTTTCACAAACACCCTCCTATTATTTGTACTTTGTATAACTTTGCGTATTAATTGACAGAGAAAAATGAACACACCAACCTCAATTAGTTATAATTGCCTTTAATTATTATGATAATTACTCTTACAAAACTCTATAAAACACCTATTTTTCACATGCTTTCGTTTGATCTGAATGCAGTACTCTTCATAATTTAAGAGATAATTAGAAAATGCAGGCAAAATGTGTGCATAAAGGTGTTGTAGTGTTTCTGTAATAATATGATCATTCCTCTACATATAGCACTGCAGCACAATACTTAGAGCTCTTTGCTAACTTCGCATCTAGACTGACAGAAATCATTTTGAATATCGTTGGATTTAAAGCTGAAGTGTGTAATTTCTAAGGCACTAGTTTAGTCAAATGTTATTGCAAAATTTAGACTGTTTTGAAATAGATTGCCTGACTGCTACCATTGGTTGCCATCCCAAACTCACGCTATTTGTTGAGCCAGTCTTGCTGTGTCAGGATGCTGAAATATTTTTTTTCCAGATTCAGTGTTTAAACCTTTAGGGATAAAATCAACCAGCAAATGACTTGCTTATAAAATGTATGTCTGCATATTAAGATGATAATAAAAAAAATTAAAAAAAATTAAATATTGAAAAAATTACACTTCAGCGTTAAAGATGGCTTGAGTTTTAGAAGTCAGTTTTAGAAGTGAAATTTAGAAATCCGCTAGTAATATTGCACATGATCTATGATACAGGTGTTGAATTTCTATGCAGCAGAATATAATTTCAATGGTTAGAACAAGCTATGAGATTATTCAGAAATTGATCTTACACTTCTGATCAACCTTTGCTCACAGTAGATCCCTTGGTATTGCTTTTGTCTTCCACATAAAATGTATTTTCCATTATGCTTCCATTGCTTAATAGGCATGCTGTATTCGTATCTGCTGTTGCACTGATAGTTTAAAGGTGTAACATACAGTACATCAGTCGAACCTGATACCCCAGTATGCCGTTGAGCAAATAGTTAATAGATCATCATATGAAAGGTCATTTTAGCTCTGTATGAAGTGAATGTGATGAGGTCTTGTGCGTATAGCCAACAACAGATCTGAGTGTAACTTACTATCAGCGTAAATTTATTTTTAAATGCCCCTTTGTTTAAGTTTATGTAGTTGCATTCAGCTTTGTGTGCAGCCATTGTTTCAGCTGGCGTCTTATTGCTATGCATCGACACGTTCTCTAAAGTGAGTTTATGCCTTAAAGAGAGGAGGTAGTCTCAACGCCATGCATCATTCAGTGGTAAAAAGTTATACGTTTTTGTACCTCATTTTAAATTCAGTAATATTAAAAATATAAAATAAAATGGTAGTGTAGAATGTGTGTGAATGTCCATTTGTTATTTTTTATTTTTTTTAAGTCATTGATTTATGTATTTTGTCACCAGTAATTGTATTTAAATGATAAACTGTTTTGTTTAAATTTGTCAGCATTTTTTTTTTTTTTGTGGCAGATGAGAGCAAGTGCACCTGTTATGATGAAGGCATTTTTTTTTTTAATTACTGTAAACATCTCAAGTGTTGTGAGTCATGATACCTGTGCAACATGTGAAATCTGATTGCTGGTAACTGTTTTTTATTTATTTATTTAAATATTAAGCCATGAGCTTTCAGTTCATCTTTTGTGCAATGAAAAAAAAGAAAAGAAAAGAAAAACATGATACAATCTGATCCAAAACTGACCAAGTATTTAGGAACGATTATTGATAATAGGCTGAAGTTTGATCAAATCATTAAAAAGTCACATCAAAGATTGTATCTGTTGAGGAAGCTGAATTCTTTTAATGTAGCCTGCAGAGAGTCATTCTCAGGACTTTCTATAATTCATTTGTTGAAAGTGTCCTGTCCTTTTCCTTTATTCGTTGGTTTGCCTTATTGTCTACAAAGAGCAAAAATCGTTTGCAAGGTTTTGTTAATATGTGCTCAAAAATCTTAGGTGTTCCCTTGCGAAGTCTTACATTTTATTATGAACAGCAAGTGATGAGGATATGGCACATACAATTATAGGAGACTGCACACACCCTTTGAATGATTATTTTAAGTGGATGCCCCTTGGGAGACGTTTAAGGTCAATTAGATGTTCCACAAATCGGTATTTAGTTGATTTATACATTTTTATTTATTTTTATTATGCATTTGGTGCATTTTGAGTATTTGTATGTGCGTGTTAAATGTTGCGAAGCACTACGAAAGTCTGAATTAATTGCCCCAAGGGGATTAATAAAGCTCTAAATTAAATTGTGTTGGTATCCTTTCATATGAGTGTAGCCTAGTATACTGGTCTTCAAAGGCTTTTATCTCACATATGCAGAGAGTGGGGTGTATGTTTACGCTCACAACAAACCGTCGAGTTCTTAAAAAGTCTCAGTGGCTAAAACACCTTCAGGAATAGAGTCGTTTACAATATTACAACTTAACTATTTCAAGTCTCCTCCAACATTTCATCAACTGAAGGATGATAGCAATATCACCTGACTTCTACTAACGATGTGAATCAATAAATCAGGAGTCACTCACTTCACTGGCGCTGTGAATCATGTCTATGCGAATCACAAAGCTCTTTAAATCATTATACAGGTACAACGACATTAGCTTATATTCATATTTTCTGTATAATTTTTAATAAATGTAGAGATGTTACCGATATTTAATTCAATGAGTACAAACGTACGCTGCAATCTTGGTAACTTCATTTTATAACAATTAATTCTTTATTTAACGATGTATAACAATAATATTAATCTTCAAAAGCTTGAATAAGGCACTTGTTTATTTATTTACTATATATTTTAATATTGAATAAATTGCAACTTAATTACAGTATATATAAAGTTTGAACGCACCTATTTATTTACTTAATCTACATATATGCATACGGTATATTATTTAAATAAAATTAACATCTAACTTTAATCCTTAAAAGTTTATTTATTTATTGTTTTATTGTTTATTTATTTCAAAGGACTTTAATTTTGAAGCTTTATTTTGGGGCATTCCCGTAATCGTCACATTTCGCACACTCAACTGCGGAGTGTGTCCCAAGTCTAAAAGTTGCACGAGGACGAGTTCAAAACTTTGCAATCCTAATAAATGTGCACGCACGTGCAATGATAATGCTTTGCACAGGTAGCAGCATTAAACGAAATGCATGATATGCACGTTTCCTTGACTGTTAAACAGTTACAAGGTACGTTAAGAGAGAGAGAGGGAGTATGGCAATATGGCAAGCCGTTTTGACTTTTATTCATTCTCAGGATATGAATTCTTGATATCAACAATTTAATTGTCACTAGTGACAATTAAATTGTTGATATCAAGAATTAACATTGTTACTAGTGGAAATGTAGTTGCGGATATCAAAAATAGCCATTGTTACTAGTAGAAATCTAATTCCTGATATCAAGAATTAACATTGTTACTAGTGGAAATGTAGTTGCGGATATCAAAAATAGCCATTGTTACTAGTAGAAATCTAATTCCTGATATCAAGAATTAACATTGTTACTAGTGGAAATGTAGTTGCGGATATCAAAAATAGCCATTGTTACTAGTAGAAATCTAATTCCTGATATCAAGAATTAACATTGTTACTAGTGGAAATGTAGTTGCGGATATCAAAAATAGCCATTGTTACTAGTAGAAATCTAATTCCTGATATCAAGAATTAACATTGTTACTAGTGGAAATGTAGTTGCGGATATCAAAAATAGCCATTGTTACTAGTAGAAATCTAATTCCTGATATCAAGAATTAACATTGTTACTAGTGGAAATGTAGTTGCGGATATCAAAAATAGCCATTGTTACTAGTAGAAATCTAATTCCTGATATCAAGAATTAACATTGTTACTAGTGGAAATGTAGTTGCGGATATCAAAAATAGCCATTGTTACTAGTAGAAATCTAATTCCTGATATCAAGAATTAACATTGTTACTAGTGGAAATGTAGTTGCGGATATCAAAAATAGCCATTGTTACTAGTAGAAATCTAATTCCTGATATCAAGAATGAACATTTTAACTAGTAAAAATTGAATTGTTGATATCAAGAATTCATATCCTGAGAATGAATAAAAGTCAAAACGGCTTGCCATAGAGGGAGACCTTTGCCACAATGTCATGACTGAGAACCACACATGTTTCATACCGAGTTTGCATACGACGCCTAAGTTGATATTATAACATCTCGGCTTATTTTAGCCAGAAACAATGTTGTGCAAATATAAGGACAAAATCCATCTCTGTATGTTCATAGTGCTGCTCCTTCAGCTGTTTTCCAGGACTGCAGGTAAGCTCTTCTTACATGTACTGGAGTAATAATCAAGTGTTTCAGTTGTTAGGCTTCAAAGAAGCCTGTTGTTCTGTCTTCTAGAGAATGCAGTTGCAGCACTATGTCTTTACTTCCTTTCTCAGCGCAGTCATGTGCCAGGAGCTGTGGTGAGAAGTTTAACACATGCTCCTGTCATGCAACGTGTGAATCTCTGAAGGACTGCTGTGCAGATTATAAACAGTTTTGCCTTGACATTGAACCACACTCTGGATCTTTGCTGGGAGGCACAGACTTCAAAATCCTCAACGCTACATTTGAGCAGAACATTAACCTGGCTTGCAGGTAAGAGTGCCAGAAATCTGTTGATGTTCTCTGAAGCGCACAAATCAACTGTTCATAAACACTGGAGACATTCGTACCTTGCAAGTTTACTGTAATGTCACAACACAATGTGTTTAAGTATTTGTTCACCGAAAAAATAAAATTTCTCATGTCCCATTTGTGTGTGTGTGTGTGTGTATATATATGTATGTACAGTGGTGTGAAAAAGTGTTGGCCCCCTTCCTGATTTCTTATTTTTTTGCATATTTGTCACACTTAAAAGATTCAGATCATCAAACAAATTTTAATATTACACAAAGATAATGCAAGTAAATACAAAATGCAGTTTTTAAATGATGATTTCATTTATTAAGGGAAAAAGGCTGTCCAAACCAACGTGGACATTGCCCCCTCCTGTTAAATCATGAAAGAACTTTAATTAACCACATTATTTTTTAGAAAGCTGAGTTAAATTTCACTAGCCACACCCAGGCCTGATTACTTAAGAAATCACTTAAATAGAACCTGTCTGACAAAGTGAAGCATGCTTAAATAGCAACACATCATGCCGCGATCTAAAGAAATTCAAGAACAGATGAGAATCAAAACAGTTGACATGTATCAGTCTGGAAAGGATTATAAAGCTATTTCTAAGGCTTTGGGACTCCAGCGAACCATGGTCAGAACCATTATCCACAAATTGAGAAAACTTGGAACAATGGCGAGCCTTCCTAGGAGTTGCCGGCCAACCAAAATTACTCCAAGAGCGCAACGACGACTCATCCAAGAGGTCATAAAAGAACCCAGAACAACATCTAAAGCACTGCAGGCCTCACTTGCCTCAATTGAGGTCAGTGTTCATGATTCAACAATAAGAAAGAGACTGGGCAAAAACGGCATCCATGGGAGAGTTCCAAGGCAAAAGCCACTGCTGACCAAAAAGAACACAAAGGCTCGTCTCTCATTTGCCAAAAAATATCTTGATTATCCCCAAGACTTTTGGGCAAATATTCTGGGGACTGATGAGACAAAAGTTGAACTTTTTGGAAGGTGTGTGTCCCGTTACATCTGGCGTAAAACCAACACAGCATTTCATAAAAAGAACATCATACCAAGAGTCAAACATGCATAGGGGCGAGGTCCTGTTGGAGTATGGCCGTGTTTGCTTTGGTGCAGATGTTAATGTTTTAAGGTTTATAAGGTTTATGAATCTATTATCTAGTTTAATTATGTGTATTTACTGTAAATTTATTTAATGCTGTCATGTAATTTGAGATTCAATCAAAACCATTGTTTTTATGTCAGAAAAATGCTGCTTAAATTATAAATATCATCACTGGACAGTTATACTTTAAAACTATGTTCCATAATACTACACTAGTTTAATTTTAGTGGCTTTGATTCATATATTAAACAGTCCATTCATGCTCGAAAACCCTCCAATGTGGCTGAATTAAAACAATTCTGCAAAGAAGAGTGGGCCAAAATTCCTCCACAGCGATGTGAAAGACTCATTGCCAGTTATCGCAAACACTTGATTGCAGTTGTTGCTGCAAAGGGTGGCACAACCAGTTATTAGATTTAGGGGGCAATTACTTTTTCACGTAGGGCCAGGCAGGTTTGGACAGCTTTTTTCCCTTAATAAAATTAAATAATCATTTAAAAACTGGATTTTGTATTTACTTGCTTTATCTTTGTGTAATATTAAAATGTGTTTGATTATCTGATTTTCACACCTCTGTGTGTGTGTGTATATATATATATATATATATATATATATATATATATATATATATAATGAAGATCATCTTGTCCAGGTTATCTTTGCATTTTGTGTTCCTAATAATAAGTAATGCATTTTTCATACAATTAGTGTAAACATAGTTATTGCATTCAAATGTCATTATATATTACTATTTAATGTGTAATATTATACAGCAATATACTTACTATGCAAGAACAGAATACTAATCTACAATGTTCAGTAATCACATATTCTGGCATTAAGGGAGTTTTGGCTGAAAGTTATTCCTCTTGATTTTGTGCCTCAAGTTCTCTAGAACAAAGTTTGAGTTAAAATGTTTGTTTGGTACAAGAAGTGGCTTTGGTGAAGGCTGAATAAGATAAGATGGAAATGTTCTCATGTTACTGCCAGCTTAAGGTGAATAGCTTTTTTGTGTTCCTCAGTTGCTCAGAATAAAAGTGCATGCTAAATAAATAAGTCTGTCAGATCTGATCTGATCAGTGGTATAAATGCACTCCAGTGCTGAACCGAGTGTGTTTCACAGGTTTAACTCAGAGATTTTGACAGATGGCTATGTGGATGAGAGCGGAGTGGGTCACTGTATCACTCCGCTGCTCTATGAGTCGGGCTGGATCCCTTTTGAGGTGTCTACAGATGGAGTCAACTATGACAGATCAGGGCGGTGGCTCTCAGGTGAGCTACATAAACCATAATGCACACTGAGGCTTTGTGGGAAAGTCAGTCAAAGTGTACCTTATTTGCACATTTCTTATTTATCAGTGAAAGGTATTCCAAATAATTTGATCACATGCATGCTGTTTCAAAAGTATTGTGACATTGTGTTTAGTAACCTAGGAGACATTCCTTTCTAGAACATTCCTTCAAGTGTTGTTCTTAGCTATTATCTATTATGATCGTATGGTTATTGCATTATGGCCTGATTAGATATTGTAGTCAAACCTCCCAAGGCATATGATATTGATACAAGTTCACTGTAATAAGTTTGTCATAACGTAGAAGTATTTATTTTAATGATAAGGTGCTTTGTCTGATTTATTAGTCCACCACAGTAAGCTGAGTCCTTTTTACAAGATCATTTTTGGCAATGCCACACAGTGGCAGTACTATGGCACTCCTAACGTCAGCGGGGATTTAAAGATGATATGGATCTCATCTCTAATAAAAGCAGAGAGAGTCAACATTGAGCTGTGGGGTTACAATGAGACTGGTGAGTAGAGCACAGATCTATCTATATATCTGTCTGTCTGTCTTGTTTGTCTATCTATATGTCGTTCTATCTTTCTATCTTTCTATCGCTCATTCTAGCTATTCTTCTCGTTCTATCAGTGTTTTATTCTATTTGTCATTTTGTCTGGCTGTCAGTCGTTCTGTCTGTCTGTTGGTCATTCTGTCAGTCAATCTGTAATTCTGTCTGTCGGTCCTTCTTTCTGTCAGTCTTTCAGTCATTCTGTCTGTTGGCTGTTCTGCCTTGTTCTGTCTTGTTCATTCTAGCTATCGTTCTGTCTGTCATTCTGTAATTCTGTTTGCCGGTCATTCTTTCTGTCTTTGTGTCTGTCAGCTGTTGGTTGTTTTTGTCGTTATGTCTGGGGGTCATACTTTCTTATTGGTCGTTAGTTCTGTTATTCTCTCTGTCGGTCATTTATTCTGTCTTTCTGACTGTCGGTTACTATTTCTGTCGTTCATTTGTTCCTTCGGTCATTCGTTCTGTCCTTGCTGTCTGTCAGTCATCCTTTCAGCCTTTCAGGTTGCGCTTCCTGTCAGTCGTTCTGTTACCTTTTTGTTTTGTCATTCTGTTTGTCGGTTGTTCTTTCTGTCTGACAGGTGTTCTGCCTTTCTGTCTGTTGGTCTTTCTGTAGTTCTGTCTGTCAGCCTAGCTGTCTGCCTGTTGTTCTGTTTATCTATCTTTCTGTCTAGCTGTCTGTCTGTTTATAATTGGTACTGTCTATCTAAAATGCATATAGAAGATATACATTATTATTAAACTAACAGGAGAGGCATATTCTGCAAACTGGGAGGCTGAGTGGAAGTATCTGTACACAGTGGGCAGAGATGTACCCAACAGTGGAGTTTTCAGTTTCACCCCACAAATCGCAGAAAATTCATATTCCTTTTGGGACCTAGGGAGCATGCGGGTCAGTCCCAGCACTAAACCAGACGGAGCCCGGTAAGAACTTTTATTAGTTCATATTAGTATTTCTTTTGTAGTTTTTATAATGAAATTGTGTAAAATGTTATGGTTTCAATATCAGACTGTTTGAATAAAGACATACTTTTTTTGTGCAGAGATGTTAACGCCCTGTGGAGTGGAGCGCATGCGATCGCCTGGCATCTAGAGGAGGCGTTCAGGAAGGACTCTGCAGGCTGGGCCCTGGACAAGTGTATCAATTGGGATAAAGAAGAAAAAGCAATGCCCAACTTCCTTACTGAGATCACCGATTGCCCATGCACACTGGCCCAGGCCCGTGCTGACACCGGAAAATTTCATGTGGGTGTAGACTAGAGTAATAAATTAATCTGATATTGTTTTGGACACCACAGTTTGCAACACTAGCAGCAACATCATTATTTGAGAATTTTTTACACTCTACCAATTGCGGATTCAGGCAAATGTAAATACATAGGGTAAAACAGTTTTAATTAAATGTGATAAAGCTATATTCATTTAAGTGTCTATATTAGAGCTCATTATGCTGAGTTGTGTGTGTGTGTGTGTGTGTGTGTTTTTCCAGACTGATTATGGCTGTGATATCGAGGCAGGTAGTTTGTGTGTTTACCATCCAGGTGCAGTTCACTGCGTCAGAGCCATACAGGGCAGGTAATATGTCACTTATCAGAATTTTAAGTCAAGTCACCTTTATTTCTATAGCACTTCATACAATGCATAGTTTGTCAAAGCAGCTTAGTGATAAACATAACAATTGCAGAATCAATTATGCAAACCTAACTAAAATTCTGCTGTAAAGCAGTTCTAAAGAACAAAAGCTTGAGTCAGTTCTGTGTTGGTTCAGTTCAGATAGGGCTACACAATAAATTGTACTTAATTGTGATCGAAATTTCTGCTTCTCTCTATATTAAGCATAATCATCTGCAACATTTGCCCACTGGCTATTTATCCTGAAACAAGCTTTTCCCTTAAATCGATACATTTTCTGCCCAGTGGGCTACTTAATCTTCCCAACCCGGCAACCACATTAAGGAAAAAGTGCTGATGATCAGAAAACACTGGCAAATATATAAGTTGGAGTTTAGTGATCTCAATTGATATATTCTGCCCAAACATGTCTTCTCAAAAATGTAACTTTTCTTTCACGCGGTCGTTTGTGCTGTTTGCTGCGATTTAAATCTGTGAGCAAACCTTACAAGTTAATGTTCCCTTGATTTGTGCTTATGTGATTTGATTTATGCTTATTCCAATTACCTATTGACCAGTATGAATTTGTTTAACATGTGCATATATGCTGGATATGTATATATAGACACACACCTCTCTTGCCACAGAAAATTACGGTAACACTTTAGAATAGGGAACACGTATTCACTATTGATTCAGAGTTTTTTTTTCTCAATAAACTCCTAATTTGCGGTTTATTAATAGTTAGTAAGGTAGTTGTTAAGTTTAGGTACGGGGTGGATTAAGAGATCTAAAATAGGGTCATGTAGAATAAGCCATTAATATGTGCTTTGTAAGTACTAATAAATAGCCAATAAGCAGCTAGTTAAAAGTGAGTATTGGTCCTTAAAATAAAGTGTTACCTTTTTTTTGGTGAATTAATATTTAATAATAATGACACTTAATTTGAGTAATTTTGGTAACACTTTATTTTACAGTATTGCCTAATATACTGATCTATCGCTAATTTTAATACTATATTATACTGATAATGATGCATGTGGGGAATTTTGACAGTAATAGAAACACAAAATAGACAGTGGACAATGTCAAAAATATAATTTATATTATAATCCATTCTGATTGATGTAAATACATTTAATTCAGTTCGATTTTTAGTCTGTTGATAAATATTTTTTCCCTTGTAGTCCTGAGTATGGTGCCGGTCAGCAGTGTTGCTATGACAGCACTGGAGCTCAGGTGCTCACGGGAGACTCTATAGGTGGCAGCACCCCAGATCGAGGGCACGACTGGGGGGAGCCGCCATACAAGAAACCACCCAGAGTTCCAGGATTCTCTCACTGGAAGTATGATGTCATCAGTTTCTACTACTGCTGCCTGTGGTCAGACAACTGCAAATACTACTTCACTCACCGCCCGTCCAGTGACTGCAGAACATATCGTCCTCCCAGAGCAGGTACAGAAAATATCTGCAATAAATGTATATTTTATTTAATGCTTTTTATTAGGGCTGGGCGATATAGCTAAAAAAAGCAATAGAAATAGTTTTTTTTAATTTAACCAATGTATTTATAATTAACACAATTTATTGAGACAAACAACAAATATTTTTAGTTTTAACAATCAAACACAATAAAAATTAAACATATCTCATTTCTGATGTTTTATATGCAGATTAAATAGGTCTTTATTGTATAGGTCTAATTGTCTCCCGAGGCCACAGGAGGGCGCAATGAGCAAAATAATGCAGTGCATTTAGCAAGTAACTCTATAAAAACGTGCATTACGTCTAAATTAACTCCTAAAAATCAAGTATAATTTCGTAAATTGCATAAACGATTATGAACAAAACAGCATCATGTATTTATGCATTGTTTAATCCAAAGAGCCGAGGCACCATTCACACAGACTGCATTTAAAAACATGAGACGCAGTGAAAAGTAATAAACCTCCACAAATTTGCGACGTGTTTTCTAAAAGTTTAAACTGTGTTAACTTTGCATGGCTTTCTATACATCTCTTGTGTGAGATGCGAGTGCATCAGTCATATTTGTCCGTCTAAAAAATGCGCTGAATATGCGTTATGTGTGAATGGCTTGGTTTCGGTTTTAACCCATTCAAGATCTTCTCCGCATTGAGCTTTTATATTTCTCTAATATGTTGAATGCATAACACAGCAGCGGCGCGTCTCGTGGGCTAGACTAACAAAACATTAAAATGAAACAATGTCACTCACATCATTATCACCGCATTTCGTGCTCCACTGATGACGTCCCCTGATGCACACCTAACGTTCAAATGCAAATGTTTATTTTAAATTCGTCTAATATTCATTCTTTATTCACAATCTCCTCATCACAGGCAGGCACAGCTCTCAATTCAGCATGTGTTAGTGTTTGTGTGTGCTGTCTGCGTCACTCATAGCACGTGCCTATATCGTGCGATATATCGAACATTTTTATATCGATATCGAAGGAGGTGTACCGTCGATAAATATTAATACCGTTTTATCGCCCAGGCCTACTTTTTATTTTAAAATTTATTTTTTTGATACTATTTATTATTATTATTGTTCTTAATTTACATTTTTGGCACTTATATTGGCAGCAATAATAGAGATAGGGCAGGAAATGATTGAGAAATGTCTTGAACCAGAAGCAAACTTGTCAAATCTGTGGACTAGCTGATAGGCCACTGCACTGAATCTTTAGATTTTTGTGCAAATGTTGGTTAATACATCCTTATCTTTTCCATCTTTTCATTAGCTGCTGTGCTTGGTGACCCTCACTTCATGACATTCGATGGTGTGACTTTCACCTTCAATGGGAAAGGAGAGTACAGTCTGGTTCACTCTTCAGACTATGAGCTGTCTGTGCAAGGCAGGACTGAACCAGTGAAATTTGAGAATGGTGAGTTCTGTAACCTTCCATATTAAGGATGGATTGAATCAGACCTGGGCTAAGAACATTGTTCTTTCAGGTACTGTTGCTATGGCAACACGACTCAGTTCGGTGGCCATGAGGGAGAAAGACTCTGATGTCATCGAGGTGCGTCTCAGAGACCGAGTAGATGAGCTCCAAGTCTTAATGAACCAACAGGTGCTTTCCTTCTCTGAGCAAAAATGGATCGACCTTAAGGGTGAGAGCAGTTTATTTATCCTCTCAAAGTCAGCTTTAGCAAAGCACAGTTTAGCAAAAGCACAAAATAGAAAACTATTTTCTCAGCAACAAATCAACATATTTTACATGATTTCTGAAGGATCATGTGACACTGAAGTTATGGCTGCTGTCACAGGAATAAATTGCACTTAGAAAACAGTTATTTTAAATTGTAATATTTCACAATATTACTGTTTTCACTGTATTTTTTATCAAATTAACGCAGCCTTGGTGAGCATAAGAGACATCTTTTATAAACAAAAAAAACCGCACCAACCCCAACTTTTGAAAAGTAGTGTATTCTTGTAAAATGCATAATTATTGGCAAATAATTGAGCACATAATTGGCCATTATTAATTAGTGAAACTAAAATATTTGTGTCTTTAAATTATTTGTTTGTTATGTTTCTCTTTTATACGGTTATCGGGTACTTAAGCAGATGTCTGCAAAACAAATTAATGTGTTAAAATATTGGCTTAATTTCTTAATGCAGCCATTGACCTTCACAGTTTCTGTTAATACACATTTTGAAAACAAGCACCCTTTATCAGTTTAGCAGATGTACAAGATGAAAAATCATAATCTGTTATGCTGTCAGTTTAATTTTGTGTTACTTGTTTATATATGTGATCTGTTTTGCAATCTCTGTTCTCGTTCCAGGTGTTTTTGTTTTTTCCCCTAAACCTACTGATGTGACAGTGATATTTCCGTCTGGGACAGGGGTAGAGGTCAGGGCAGGTGGAGGGGTCATGACCCTTACCGTCCTACAGCCGCATGACTTACAGAACCACACGCAGGGGCTGCTCGGTACAATGAATGACGACCCTGAAGATGATTTCACTTCTAGTAATGGAGTGATCATCCCTCTCAATAGCAGTGCACAGGATATATTCACCTATTGTGCTGGCTGTGAGTAACCGTTTCACTTTTACATTACTTTACTGCCAGTGCAGTCAGTTCAGCCAGTGCGTGATGTAATTGATTGAAACTGAAATTACAAATTATACTGCTAGTCAGATATCATTTACTTTATTTATGAATTTCATCCGATTTAATTTACTCTATTTATAAAAGGCTCCATCTGTTGTAAAGGTACAGTTTGCTCATTTAAAACCATTTCATATTTATTCTATGACTATTCCATGTGGCTTATGTGGAATCACAGATTTAGTTTGTCACATAAATACTTTAAATGCATATGTCTAGTTTTTTTTGGATTATTTATTTATTTTTTGTAATTTATTGTTATTTTTATTGTTATATATTTTGATGTGGTTGCATTGAAATGGAGTGATCATCCCTCTCAATAGCAGTGCACAGGATATATTCACCTATTGTGCTGGCTGTGAGTAACCGTTTCACTTTTACATTACTTTACTGCCAGTGCAGTCAGTTCAGCCAGTGCGTGATGTAATTGATTGAAACTGAAATTACAAATTATACTGCTAGTCAGATATCATTTACTTTATTTATGAATTTCATCCGATTTAATTTACTCTATTTATAAAAGGCTCCATCTGTTGTAAAGGTACAGTTTGCTCATTTAAAACCATTTCATATTTATTCTATGACTATTCCATGTGGCTTATGTGGAATCACAGATTTAGTTTGTCACATAAATACTTTAAATGCATATGTCTAGTTTTTTTGGATTATTTATTTATTTTTTGTAATTTATTGTTATTTTTATTGTTATATATTTTGATGTGGTTGCATTGAAAAAAATCCCAATTACTGTCTATGCTTTTTTTGTCTATAAATAAAATATTCATTGAAAACAAAGTGTCATTGAAGCTGTATAGCGGTTACAGAAACTGGGTGAATAAGATTTAATTGTACAAGAACATCTGCAAATAAGTAATGTACAAGAGGAAACAATTAAAACCAATCTGTTTTTGAGAGCATAATTTAATAATGCTTTAAAAGACCTTGAAAAGAAACATGACAAAGCATTCATGAGGAAACATTTGTAAAATTGCAAGCTGTAGTTGAAATCTTTTGCCTCTTTTTTTTTCTCACAAAATACCATATATTTTTCTTTACTAGGGGCCATTACGAATGAGACGTCACTGTTTACTTATGACTCAACCCACCTCCTGAATGAATATTACTATGCCCCAAAGCATGATCCGTCTTTCATCCCAAACTTTTCCGTGACTGAAGACCCAGAGGATCCTCTGCTGGAGCCAGCGCTGAACCTATGTGCCGGAGAGGGGGCTTCATTCTGTAAATATGACGCACTAAGCATGCACAGTCTGGAACAAGGCAATGCCACACTGCTGGCCTACCGGAGTCAGATGTCCACCAAGAAAGCTCTGGAGCCTGGTAAGTGCAACTATTTCACAGGGCCTATAGTGAGAAATCTTCAAAAATGTTTTGATTTTTTTTGCAGGAGTATTAATTGCAGTATTTCCTTTCCCAGACTTCCGTATGATTTAGGCACCCTCTCCTAAAAATACGTTTTATAATCCATGTATGTCTGGCCCTAAAATCGAATTGGATGAGCCCTGTTCATAGTTGTTTCTTGCATAACCAATATATACATACTCATCTGATGAATTATGTATTTATGCATCAATTCCATGAAATGGCACTAAATAACAGATATGGCACTAAATGGTAAATATATCATTTTAATTAAAAATATGTAATATACTTAAAAAATAAAATGCATTTAAAAATTAAATTAAATGTATTATTATTATTTTTTGTATTCTAAAAAAAGTGCATACTGTGGTCACCTGAAAGCTTGTATTAGTGCTTTTAAGATTTTTACAACATGCTCATATAAGTATTATCAAATGTTATGCATTTATACGGTTGTGAGGATAAAGACCAATGCCAGCATTACATAGTGACATTTTGCATTACAATAACGTTTAGCTGTTTGCTGAATTTTACATGGTATCATATGCAGATTAAATAACAGTGGCACACTATTGAAAATGTGATCTCTGACCATATCTCATGGTGCGCTCAAGTCATGTCGGATAGATCGTATTTACGAGTTGAACGCACATGAACGCCACCACAAAGTCGTTATTACGAGTGGGAAACTCTAAATTTTCTTTCAGCCCCGAGTTGGGGGCGTGTCAATGAGAAACATGGTGGAATCGATGGATGCAACGTCTGTAGTTGACAGTATATTTTTGTTTAAATTGATAGTTTAGTGGGTTGTCAGTGACAAGTACTGTAGAACTGCATGTCTGACAGAGGGAGACGGAGAGATTGCCAAATAAAACATAAATCACAATACTTATAGGTAGGTATAAGCAGTGACATTGTCAGGCTTTTTTCTTTTTTTTTTTTTTACAAAAAATAAGCTTTTTGAATGTGGCAGGATTGTAATATACAATTAATAACAGGTTTTTATTCGATGCAGATTAAAGTGGCTTCATAAATTACTTTTTAAAAATATTAAAAACGCAAAACACACCTGATACGAATTCTTTGCTCTTCATTTTCTATAAGCAGAGTTAACAGACCCTTGTTGTATTTTCTTGTAATTTATTAAAAGAAGGTACACCGCCATCTTGTGCCGACTAAACTGACTTGAACGCACCTGGCGTCGTAATTACGACTTGTCAAATCGTAAGTGAACGTCCCAGGAGGACTTGAACGCAGCATCAGTTATAAAGCATTGGAGACTTGCATATGATCTGACTGTTATCTGTATAATATCTTTTTATGGTTTTGTAATGGCTGTGATTTTGTGATCTCAGTACAATCCTGTGGTTGGTTGTCACCACCTAACCATGGTCAGAAGGAAGGAACCTTGTACCTGGAGGGGGCAACGGTCACGTTCTCATGTAACAGTGGATACCGTATATATGGGCCCCAAGAACGCACCTGTGAAGCAGACGGCAAGTGGTCTGGACAGGATACGCACTGTGTGGCTGGTAGGTAAAAGTGGAGAATGAAAATTCTGAGATCAATTACTCACAACATATCGTTCCAAACCACTAGATGGCAGTGTGTCCCTTTTTAAAGTTCATATTCTCTTGAGCTAATAGAAGGCTGTAGTAGATGATTCTATTTTTTACTTTTTCTTCCATATTCCATTACGAATAGATGATCTTACACATCTAAATCAAGCAATTGCTGTCTCTGCTGTTCAAAAGTTTGGGATCGTTATGATGTTTTTGAAAGAAGCCTCTTATGCTCACCAAGGCTGCATTTATTTGATGAGAAATACAGCAAAACAGTAATATTACATTTTAAAATAACTGTTTTCTGTTATATATATATATATATATATAATTTTTTTAACTTTTTTTTAATCTAATTTATTCCTGTGATGCAAAGCTGAATTTTTAGCAGCCATCATCCCAGTCTTCAGTGTCACATGATCCTTCAGAAATCATTCTAATATGTCTAAAGAGACTTCTCTTGTCAAACTGACCGGCCCATTGATCCGCAAGTCATGCATACAGACCGACCTGGATGTACTTGCGCTTGTTAACTCTTGACCCCTTGGTCTCATCAGAGCGGAACAACATACTTCCTCTCGATAGGAATCTTCAGGATGGATCTGTTCAGAATCTGATCTGGACTCTCTCCATCAAACACATGAATCGTTTATCTGCTCCACAGCTGTTGAGAATTCATGTTCGCTGGCCTTTCTGGGGGTTCACTGCACAACTGGAGAGCCAAAACAAAGCAGCAGCCCACTTTACAAACACGCATCAGGCCTGTGAGCCAAATGATCTTGCAATGAATTTACTGAATGCACGCTATTGCAAACATGTTGGATAATTCGTATTGAGGGAAAAATTATAAATAAATTCAGAAGTGTTGGTGTTCAGCCAATGCTTTGAGACTTGTAGTTTGTAAAACGTGATATTAATCAATATTTGCCATTTATTTGCTGTGCAAGTACACTTTCTAAATCAATACAGCAGCCGTTGCCTGCTTTATTCATTAATGATCGTTGCGTTTACTGTCCAACTTGATAATCATATTTGTGAACTTTCAGATAAATGATTTTCATTAAACTCACACAATTAAATACCTGCAAAGTTACATTGGTTTGTGCAGGCACACCATCACTGCAGGTCATCGTTCGCCAGCCGCTATCTCGCACAGCTAAACAGATCATTATTTATCATCAGGAAATTGTAGGAGAGCATTTTTCTTGATATATGGGTGCTTACAGACCGCTGAGGCCAGACAGGTCAGTAATGTGCACAGGGTTTTATCAAACTTTTCACTGGTTTTAACAGGTTATTCAGGGCTATTTTGACAATCCCACGTCTCACTTTCCCTACCTCTTTCTCTCTACTTTTTCCCTGTCTCTCTCTCCTTTTAACCTGTCTCTTTCTTGCTACATATCTCTCTTTTTTACCTTTGTTTTCTCTTCACCTGTCTCTGATTCCCCGCTGTTTCCTTCTTTGTACCAGTTCATTCTCACCACAAGTTTCTCTTTTTTTACTTATCATTCACTCCTTTTTACCTTTCTCACTCTCCCTTAACTTTCTATTTCTTCCTACATGTCTCTCTCTCCCTACCTGTCTATTTCTCTTCTTAAACTGTCTTTCTTGTCTTACATGTTTTCCTTTTGTATCTATCTCTTCATAAATGTCTCCATCTCCCTTCTCCCTCTTTCTATCCTTGTCTCCTCTTTACATGTCTTTCATCCCTCTTTACCTCTCTCATTCTCGCTATCCATGCCTGTCTTTCTCTCCTTTTTAACGGACTCTCTTTTCAATTCAATTAAATTCATTTCAATTCAAATTAGCTTTATTGGCATGGCTTTGTGACATATTACAATGTTGCCAAAGCAGACATACAGATAAATAAAAGGGTGAAAACAGAAACACATATACATATTATCCATATACAGTGCACAGCATAAATGAGTACACCCCCTCTGGATAAATATAAAATATGTATTTTCTTAACGATCATTAATATCATTCATGGAAAGATGGCAAAATTGAAACATATTAAACAAATATACTTAATAAAAACAACAAAATATATGCCAATATTTTCTGTAAGATAAGTAAATTAGCCAATTTTGTTTAAATGAAGGATTGCAGAAATGAGTACTAATGAGTTTAATTCAGAAAATGTATAATATTCTAGTACTTAGTATGTGCAGTTCTCTCTCAAGTGGTTCCACTGCTGCCAGCATTAAGTCTGTTTGTTTGATTCGGTAGGCTATATAACACTTTTAATTGTCAGGAAATTACTTGTCTTTAAAAGTTTTGGTTCAATATACTTACCTGTTGATCAAAAATAGCTTTAAATCTATTTTTTTTTATTTAGTAACTTTCAGGAGGGTGTACTCATTTTTGCAACACAAAATGTTATCACTTTGATAAGAAAATCTTATTTTGCTGAATAATTTTGGCATTCTTCTTTGGTAATTGATCAAGCAGGCTTGGTGGAACATTACATCTCCAAAGAACCCTACCATGTCTTCTAAGTAAAGAGTAATTGCTGAATTTGTTAAGTTTTAGAGGGGGTGTACTCATTTATGCTGTGCACTGTATGTTATCATAACTAAAAAAAAAAGTATGACAAAATGACAAAGTAAATGAATAGTGATAAATGGAAAGAGGGTTGAGCCTTTGTCCCTTATATGGTGGCAGGAGGACACCTACTGCACTGCCAGTTGGATACACTTTTCCCTCTCTCCCAGAATATACGGGAGTTTGTCTATGTTGCTTGCTTGCATTTTTATTTTATTTTTTTTAGAGATTTAATCTTGCCTGATAGATCATTTTATGATATGGGCTTGTCTAAATGGTTTAGCTGGTCTTTTGTAGTGAATTCTAGGTTATATAATTGGGAGGTCAGGCTTGGTTCACTGGCCTAATGATTAGAGAGTCGGACTTGTAAACCATAGGTCATAGGTTCGGGTCTCGGTACTGGCAGGGATTATAGTTGAGGGGAGTGAGAGACATGTTTTCCCTACATATCTCTCTCCTTTTTGTCTTCTCTGCCTACCTGTCTCGCTCTCTTCTTTAACTGTCTTCCTACATTTTTCTTCTTTATATATATCTCTCTCTTTCTCTCTCTCTCACTAAATGTCTTTTTTATGCATCTGTCTCTCCCCACTCGTCTCTCTTTCATCTTCACCTCTTTCTCCCTACCATCTGTCATCTTTCTGTCCATTCAGTTCTTGTGTCTCGGTTTTAAATCGTCTTCTCCTCCTTTACCTGTCTCATTCTCCTTTACCTTTTTCTTACATTACAGAAAAAAATTACTATACTAAAATGACTGTCCTAAGTTCTTTATTTTCAAATGTAAAGCTGTCCAGCTTTTATTTAGTCAGAAACCCACAGGGAGCCATTAAAGCTTCTCATTTGTTGACAGCAGCCAGTTTATAAGTGCTTCTCTTTACAATTTTGGTAAGATGGTGCATATTGGGTTCCTAAATGCTATAAACAACCCAAACTCAGACCAGCTGTAGAGATAGAGTTCATGCAGAGCAACATTTACTGTAAACCGAGCCACTCTGAGACACTAAAAACCCTGGATCGTGAGCTGCTTGTGTGTAAATGAACACAGTGCCGTGCTTCACTCTGAAACATGCAGGACGTATTTGTAATTAAATCGCAGCATAAACCATAATTCGATTTTGGTTTTTAATTGTGATTAATTGTGCAGCCCAGTGTTTCTTAACCTTTAGTTGGATTTCCCCTCTCTTCTCGGAGTATGAATGTGTATTATCAGATACTGACATCCACAGTGTTGTTGGTAGCACTTTATTTTACAGTCCTGTTCCGCATGTACATACTATATACTTATTATAACAATTACAATAACTGGGTAATAACTAGGTAGGTACTAACCCTGAACCTACCTGTAAACCTAACCTTAACCCATGTAGTTACCTTATACTAGCCAGTACTTTCTTGGGTAAGTACACTGTAAGTACACATACTGTCAAATAAAGTGTAACCGTGTTGTTCATGAGAATGACGTGAGACCAGTTTGGTGGGTTTTTTTCATTTACAAAAGTCATTTTTCAGCTGTCATAAAGCTTTCTGACAGATCTGCTCTAGTTAGCATGAAAGCACAACCTACAGATAACCTCCCTCCATACATGTACATCTTTTCATTCTTATGGTATGGCCATATCTATTGCTCTTGAGCATGTCTATAGTCATTATCTTTGTTTTGAAGGTAGACCTTCTATACTGGTGCTCTTAAGAGCTGACATGTTGTCTTAGTGTTAAGAGAGCAATGTGTTCAGGCCGGGGCTCCACCTCCACTTGAATTGATAGTCCCACTAAACCTCTGTTTACTCCCATGTTGTAAGACAATGTGGGGTCCCAGTGATTTTTATCCCTCTTGTCTGTTTCTCTACTTTCCCTCTCTCACTCTCTCCTTCGCTTTCTTTTGTTTTGGCTACTGGCTGATAAAGGTTGACATTCTAGCCCACAAAAAGCAGGAAAGTGAGGGTGAAATGAAGGAAGTGACAATCATGTGGTTCTGTGCAGGGCTACAACAACCAAACAGTTATTTTGATAATCTGTCAAATATTTATATAATATCATAATTTCAAACGATGTGTGCAGAATTTTTCAAATATGAATCAGTGATTTTAACCTTAGTTAAAGGAATTAAACAAAATCTGTTTTTACAGAGTGTAATCAAAAATGGCACTTGTTCCAGATTAGATGGATATAATATTGGTAAATGGTTCATAATGTAATTTAGTTCTGAAATGTTGTAATTGTTTTTTTTTCCACAGTAGTATTTTAAAATTGAGAAGTTTCTATTTTCACAAATTTTCTGTTTTTGTGAGGAGAAGAGTTCACCTGTCTGGTGCTCTTTTTGTAATTTTTTAAAAAGTACTCAAAATATATGTTATGAAAGTAACACACAATATGTTACGACACTATTGACACTATCTAAATTTAATGAAATTGTAAAAATTAGTGACACTTTTAGCTGATTGATAATTTTGTGTAAACCATGAAAAGAACAGCTTTTATTTGAATTATAATTGTTTTGTAACATTATAAATCTCTTTGTCACTTTTGATCAATTTAAGGCGTTTTTTAACTATTTAAATAAATATAAATGTATTTAGTTTTAAATATATTTCTTTTTTTTATCCAACTAGAAGTGTTTTAAAACATGTAAATACAGACGTAACAATATATATATATATATATATATATATATATATATATATATATATATATATATATATATATATATATATATTAATAATAATATTAATTAATTAATTTTTTTATTGGGAATGCAATTGTTCCTGTTTAAGGACCCAACTACTCCGTAATGAAATTTAAGGTTGATTATTGTCAATTTGATTAGCAGTTTTATCAATTTGATGTTGCAGCCCTAGTTTTGAGAGTTAATATCGTTGTTTTGTTGGGACTGACCTCATGAAGCCCATCTGGACTCTGTGTTTGTATAAATGTGAGTCACTGCACTGCAGATGCCCTGAGTCTCAACATATGGCACTGATGCTGTACCGCTTTGTCAAATTGCACTGGTTATAACTCTCTATCCGTAAAGAGGCACAAGATGGGGGAAAAGGAGGCTACAGGGAAGGGAAGAAGTCGATTAGGAAGAGAAGTAGATGTGAAAAAGAAATCATCACTCCAGGTTCCAAGAACAGAGAGAGATATTTATTCATAGAGGACACTCACATATGAATGCACATCCCAATGAGACAGTCACAGGCCCAGGAGGACGCAAAACGGCATGATGGGAGGGGGGCATGGAGGAATGACGGACAAAGCTACCAGTGAAAATGCGTTGTGACAGATTGAACTCCGCTGAAGAGAGGAGGAATTTGATGCAGAATAAAACTGACAATGTGAGTTTAGCCGCTAACTTGCTCTTTTTCTTGTTCCCAAGGCAACATGTCATCAGCATCGGTCCGGGTCACCTGCAGCCGTCTAGTGCGTTTGAGAGGCTAAAAAACATGTGCAAATACAATGAGCTCTGCATTATTGATATCACTACCTTGTCAACTGATTGCAGTGCAGTAAAGACAGAGCTGTATACATTATAAAGTGAAGCCAGCAGGAGCTGTAAACTTTAAATACGGAGCATAATTAGTGGTGCTTGGAAAAACATCACTATTTTAATTGCTCATACTACCAATCAAAAGTTTGGGATTGGTAAATGTTTTTATTGTATGTGAAATAATTATCTTATGCTTACCAAAGCTGCATTTGGTTGATCAAAAATACAGTAGAAACAGTATTATTGTGAAATATTATTGCCATTTTTTTATAATTTATAATATAATGTATTCCTGTAATGGCAAAGCTGAATTTCCAGCAGCCTTTATTGCAGTCTTCAGTGTCACATGATCCTTCAGAAATCATTCTAATTTGCTCATTTGGTGCTCAAGAAACATTTCTTATTATCATCAGTATAGAAAACAGTTGTGCTGCTTAATATTTTTCTGAAAACTGTAACAGGGTTATTATAGTTGCCTAAAATCATAAACTTTTATTGTTACTGGAAATAAACTTAAAATAAAATATAAATCTTAAACTTACTTTATTTAATTTATTGCAAAGGCAACATTTTCCATGTAGTTTTGCTTTTTCAGCCTTCTTTGATGAAAATAATGTTCAGCAGGCATTTAATAAAAATTATTTTTTTTTTGTAACAATATAAAAGTATTTACTGTCACGTTTGATCAATTTATTACTTTCTTGCTAAATAATAGTAGTAATTTATTAAAAAATAAAATAAAATAAAACTGATGATAAAGCAAAAAAAATCTCAAAGACTTGTATTGAAAGAGTCCCAAAGCACATTTACGAATCAAAATGCTGTAGAATCCTGGCTCACCCAGATCACCTTTGCAGTAACTCAAAACACCTTAACCACTTACAAACACTCTTAACAATGCTATAGCAACATTCTGGGACCTGAGGGGCTTGAGACCAGTTCAGATGACATATACACACACCTGGCTTGTGTGGTACCTCTTTTCAGTGATTGGTTTTAATCAACATGTGTTCAGGCGCTCTTACATCCAAATACATTTATCCTATGGCCATATATCAGAATGTGGTATAACACACAGGGGTATATTAATTGGAAACTTTAGGAAGGAAATCTCAGGGCGTGACAGGCGAGTGTGGGTTTGTGTGCCTGTTTCATTCAATGTGCTTTTGATTTGTCAGTAGATTTCTCCAGTGTCGGAACAGCATGCGAAATGCACCTTGCTAAAACACTCGGAAGTTGTTTAACCAAACATGTCTTCGGTCCTGTTTGACATGTCAGGAATTTAGCCTGAGGCCAAAGGAGACTTGTGGTTCTTATAAAGAACACAGTTTCATTTGCATTGGAAAGCTCAACTGATTATTTAACCATTTATCAAGAGCACTCAACTGAATAAAATGCAAAGCAAGATTGGATACTGCATGCCAGCTGTTAAGTTACTTTGGATAAAGGTGTCTGCTCAATGAAAATGTACAGAATGCAAATGCAGTGTAAGGTTGCACACTAATATTGCACAGGGGGAGCACAATGATTTATTATGAATTACTAACAAATGTGTATTGGCACTTTTATTTACAGATAATACGTTGGCCATTGTCCTGGGGAGTGTTGGTGCAGTGTTGGCGTTGGCTGTCATGGTGATAGCAATCATTGTGTACACAAAGAAACAGAAGTGAGTACAAATGTGTTTCTTTTGTTGTCCAAATATGTTGTTCATTTGTTTAGTCTAAATGTTGAATATTTGTTGAAATCATGCAATTTAAAGAATACTTGAGAATTTTTTTTTATCATTTTCATATCATTCAAACCCTTGCTTGTATTGCTGTGTCCGAATATGCCTAGTTCAATACTATATATATACTAATAAATAACCATATATACAATATAGCTGTGAATAGCTATAATATTAAGTCACACAAGAGGAGTTGTGAATAGCAGTAAAGAGACGCAACTGATGCTGGTAGGTCATGTGACAGTGACATTCATACTTCCCAAATTCATACTATATACAATTAATTGAGGCAAGTGAGGCCTGCAGTTCTTTAGATGTTGTTCTGGGTTCTTTTATGACCTCCTGGATGAGTCGTCGTTGCGCTCTTGGAGCAATTTTGGTAGGCCGGCAACTCCTGGGAAGGTTCACCATTGTTCCAAGTTTTCTCCATTTGTGGATAATGGCTCTGACCATGGTTCGCTGGAGTCCCAAAGCCTTAGAAATGGCTTCATAACCCTTTCCAGACTGATACATGTCAACTGTTTTGATTCTCATCTGTTCTTGAATTTCTTTAGATCACGGCATGATGTGTTGCTCTTTAAGCAGGCTTTACTTTGTCAGACAGGTTCTATTTAAGTGATTTCTTGATTCAACAGGTCTGGCAGTAATCAGGCCTGCGTGTGGCTAGTGAAATCTAGCTTTCTAAAATTATGTGGTCAATCACAGTTCTTTCATGATTTAAGAGGAGGGGCAATTCATTTTTCACATAGGGCCAGGTAGGTTTGGACACCTTTTTTCCCTTAATAAATTAAATTATCATTTAAAAACGCCATTTTGTATTTACTTGCACTATCTTTGCGTAATATTAAAATTGTTTTGATTATCTGAATCTTTTACGTGTGACAAATATGCAAAAAATAAACAAAACAGGAAGGGGGCAAAAACCTTTTCACGGCACTGTAGAATGTACTTTTTAAACAGTTTGTGAAGTAAGTTTCAAACCAAATATAGTACCTACTAGACAGTATGCAACTTCAGACAGGTTATTGACTGTTTCTTCCATAGAAGACACAAAAGATGACATTTTAAAGCTATGCACTGGTCACTGTTTTCCATACATTTAGTTTGGGTTCGGTAAGATTTTTAAAAATGTTTGAGAAAGGAGTCTTTTTTGCTCACTGAGGCAGCATTTATTTATTCTTGTGATGGCAAAGCTGAATTTTTAGCAGCCATTACTCCAGTCTTCAGTGTCAATCATTCAAATATGAAGATTCAAAGATTTAATTGAAAGATTCAGGGTTCATCCATTGAAATTGCATGGGAAATAATGCACAGTACAATTCTTCAAATATGTCTTTTGTGTTAAATGAGTTTTGAACTATGATGATGCACTGTAAATGACAGAATTTTCTTTTTTGGTTGAACTATTCCTTTAAATATGCCAGTCAATATTTTTCTAGATTTGTCTCACTGATTTACTGCAGTCAAACAGGCTTTTTCTGATGAATTTATGTGACAATGTCAAGCAAAAGTGTCATGGCATGTTTTGTTTGAACTTTCCAACTGAAATGTGTGCTCATGTCATGTATAATCTTGATATGTGATGAAGATGAACTCATAAAGCTCCCTTGGGCCGGATATATCTCGTATATATCTTCTTCAAGGAAGACATCAGAGATATGATAGAATTTAACCGTTTTCCAGTGTAAACGCATGATTTATATTACCCATCTATCTTTCCTCATCCATTTTCACCCTCATGCCTGTGATTTTATATATTTATATATATGTATATTATCATGAACAACAACAAAAAGAGATTTTAACTGATGTTAACTCTCCTCTGCTAACCTTTTCTGCCCCCCACTCTAGTAACCCCCCCCCCCCCCCCCCCTCTTCACGTC